TATGATTTGTTTTTTTGGTCATACATTTCCATTTTTGGAGAGGATATAGGATCTACACAGCCAATAAAAAGTTCAGCAACTAAGTGACTTGCACTATAATATATAAATGAAAAAAATCACCTACAATTAATTGAGTGTTCGGAAATACAATCGTGGAAAGATTATTCCCACAGCCTGCTTGGTTATTAAGCCTTTACATATTAAAATCTATCTAATACTAAATTTCCATTGTTAAAGCCAATAAAATTGATAACTTTGAACCTTTACAAAAATTTTTTTTTACTAATATAAATAAAAAAACTCTTTGTTGACAGCCTATTACTATTAATTGAGTGATACAATTTGTGGAAATATTATTCCCATAGCTTACTTTGTTTATTGAGCTTTACATTTTAAAGTCTAGCTAAATTTTACAAAAAAATTTTTTTACTAAAAATAAATAAATAAAAACTCACCGACAGGTTATTAATTGAGTGTTTGAAAATACAATTGCGGAAAGATTAATTCCCACAGCCTACTTGGTTATTGAGCCTTTATTTTAAAGTTTATCTAATCTTCGATTATTTCACTGTAATGTTTTGATGATTAAAAAATCCGCACATAGTAATTTTCTATGTAATAATAAATACATTAATATTGAACTGTTTGATGATCAACCATTGTATGTAACTAACCACCTACAAGAGCCAGAGTTGTTTTACAGCTTTTTTAAAGTGTAATATTACATGTATGAATTAATTTTTCAAAAAAATATATCTAATAATCCAAACAATCTGCTTTCAATTCACAACATGCACATATTCATTCTCATTCAAATATCTTGTTAGCTTCTCAATTAGTAAAATACCATACAAATTGATCGTTACACAATAATTACAATTATTAATTGTTTGTTATACAAATATTCAGGTGATATTTTTAAAAAAAAAAATTTATAAAGTTTAAAAACTTCAGCTAATACATTAAAAGATAGATTACATTTAATAAGTAATTCAAGTATTTTTTTTTCTATTATTTTTACTTGTCATTTTAAGAAATGTTTATTTATTAGTTTACAAGTTTTTTTTTGCTCAAAAAAAAAATAGTAGTCATGTCAGATAGGTATACTCGTTTAGAAAAGTTAGGTGAAGGGACTTATGCAACAGTTTATAAAGGAAGGGATCGCAGCACAAATGAAATAGTAGCTTTAAAAGAAATACATTTGGACACCGAAGAGGGTGCACCTTCAACTGCCATTCGTGAAATTTCTTTAATGAAGGAGTTAAGACATCCGAATATTGTAAAATTACTGGATGTTATTCACACAGAAAATAAGTTGATGCTTGTTTTTGAATTCATGCATCAAGATCTTAAAAAATATATGGATACTAATGGAATAAATGGTGCATTGGATCCATTGACGATTAAACGATTCATGTATCAAATGTTATTAGGAATAGATTTTTGTCATGACAATAGGGTTTTACATCGTGATCTAAAACCTCAAAATCTTTTAATAAAAGATAATGGAAATCTTTTAAAATTAGCAGATTTTGGTTTAGCAAGAGCTTTTGGAATCCCAGTCACGACTTTTTCAAATGAAGTTGTAACACTATGGTATCGTTCACCAGATGTACTATTAGGTTCACGCACCTATTCTACCTCAATTGATATATGGTCAGCCGGTTGTATTATGGCAGAAATGTATACTGGTCGACCTTTATTTCCAGGCACAACAAATGATGATCAATTGGTAAAAATTTTCAAGACAATGGGCACACCACCGGAATCTATTTGGAAAGGTTTGATAACTTATCCTGAGCATTTGAAACGGTATCCTAATTATTCACCACAAGATTTAAAAAAAATGATTCCAATGATTGATAATGTTGGATTGGATTTATTAAGTAAAATGTTAGTTTATGATCCTGATCAAAGAATCACAGCAAAAAATGCTTTAAATCATATTTATTTTAGTGACATTGTCATTAATCAAAATTTGCAACAACAACAACAACAACAACAACAACAACAACAACAACAAAGGTCTCAACCGTCTCTTCATGCATCTTTACACAATAATAATCCATATATGAACAATCTAAACAATCTAAACAACCTTAACAATCTAAACAATCTTAACAATCTAAACACGGTCAATCATCTGATACCTCAACGTCATCATCCTCGCCATCATCAAGCAATTCCTACCACTAATAATATGGGATTTACCAATCCAAATGGTGTTGGCGGTGGTATACCTTTACAATTGAATACAATGCCGCCACCACACGCACATGGCGTAAATGTGAATATGCAGTCGATCAACCTACAAAATTTGCAACTACTATCGTCAGCAGCAGGTGTTAACATGTCAACAGCAATACCTTTACAACAACAAAATGTTATTCGACCAATCATGACTGTACCTCCGCCTCAAATTATCCCAGCTCCATCAATGGTTCCAGTACACCAATTGTTAAATCCTCCACCTAATAGTGCGCCAGTCCCTCCACCTTTAAGGCACCCAACAAGAAGGCAACAATATGATTCATATGGTATTGATTAATATATACATATATATATATATATATATACAATGAACTTTTATATTAAGGATAAATATTATTATTTGTTTTTAATCTATATTTATTAAATTTTTAAATTATTTCACACGCTTTTTGATATATTATTTATTATTTATTATTTATTATTTATTATTTATTATTTATTATTCATTATTATGCTTTTTAATATCTAATTTTTGAATATCTGAACTCTAACAAGTTAGAATCCAATTGTTATACTCCTAATGCGATATGATTCTAGCTAAACCCATTCTTGGTTTTTATTTGTTCAAAGAATCAATTCCTTAGCCTTGTTGTGTGTGAAAAATGAAAATATATGTGGATTTACAAATTAGCCGATCAGAACTTCATATCCAAGCACCCACCCCAAAATTTTAATAGCTTCAATTTCACATACAACAGCCTCAACACAATCAAATTTTAATTTTTTTTTGAGAAATCCCATTTACATTCAATTATTAATAGGATTACTATGAAATTTTTCATGGTACGAGAAACCTTAAAAAGTATATTAATATACTCCCAGATTTTCTTTGAGAAAAGGGCTAATAGAGAAAATTTCAACACTGTTAATAAAATGTACAACTAGTACCAGTGATGCGGATATCCGTTTCTGCCATGCGCTATTTTACATCTAAATTTTAATCCATATAACGTTAAATTATTGTGTAAATATTATGTAAAAGAACAGCAATAGCAATCATATTATTATAAAAATTTAGTAGTAGTCCTATTCAACCAAGAAGTGTAAGGTTGCCATTAAGAACTAGTTTCAGTGGTCAAAATAACGTTTTTGATGACTTAT